GCTTATTGGTTGGAGAGCTAATGGGTCAACTTCAGATTTCCTTGTTAAAGTTTGACGTGTTTAATTACAAAGTTGCAGAAGAGCAGAAGTATTTTTCTGCCCTTATCTCTAATAAACTTATCAGCAGTTATAGGTGATAACGTTGCAGGTATAAGGTCTCACATCACTCCCCCTGACTGTGATCTTCCTGTTCCCCAAATATTTTGCTGATTTTGACCCCTTTGAGACTTTTTCTGAAGTGATCGGTCATCTGAAGCCTGCTGTGTGCTCCCTAGATGTCCCATCTGTACAACGAGGTCTTGGACGCTGTCAGGGACTGCTGAGTTTTAAACATGCCATCATTCTGCCGTCTGTCAAAGAAGCTTTAGGCCGATCCCTAAGCTGCCCTTTCTGTCTAAGATACTGGAGAAAGTTGTTTTCCACCATCTCCAGGCCCCGATGGAAATAAATACCTGACACGAATATCAGACTGAAATATTTCAGTCCAGTTTCGCAGCACAAAATCAGCACTTTGAAAGGTTTTTGATGATCTTTTAGTAATTGGATATTCAACCATTTTCATGCTTTCAGCTGCTGCATTCGATACAGTGCATCGTGTTTCCTGGTCTGTGCACCGCAGAGATGTGTGTTAGAGATGTGTGTGTTTCACAGGCAGAGGTTTTTCTGTCACGTTGGTGGGTTTTCATCATCACCTGCTCCACTCTCATGACCTCCATTCTTGGTCCTGTACTCTTTTCACTTTCTATGCTCCTGATTTCAATTTTCCAAAAATATGGAATTGAATTTCCTTGTTATGCATCTGACTCACAAATCTGTCTGCGTACCACGGCTCCTCTGACAGCTTTGCTGGACTCGCTGCCATGAAATCATGGATGGCGCTAAACTCGTTGAACCTGAACAAGTGAAAAACTAAAGTGAGACTGTTCAGACCTCTGTAAATCACTCAGTTCTGCTTTCTCATCTGCAACTCCTGACGGTGCACCAGTTTCCTGTTTTGGGGGGGGTGGGGGCATGTAAATGAGAATGAACAGCTTGTAGAACTGGGGGAGACGTATATAGATGAGAACCGGAAACAGCGTGTTTGGCAGCGTGGTCCTGCTCCTGAAATTCGATACTTTATTTCCAATTGTTGGTTTTTAAGTCTTTAAATGCCTTCTTACCTTTCTGACCTTTTAACAATGCATGTTCCCAAAAGATCACTGAGGTCAGCTGAGCAGACACTTCTAGTTTCACAGATGAAAACATGCCCTTAAACTTCAGAACAGTCTGGGCAATTAAAACTCGCATCTTTAAATCTTGACATTTCATTTTTCTTTCATTTATTTATGTTCTGTTATGCAGCACTTTGGTCAACACTTGTTCTTAAAAGTGCTCATAAATAAACTGACTTGAGTTATTCGGTCATATCCAAACATGTGGCTTTGTGCATGAAGGGATGCAGATACGTGCCAGGAGCTTCGGTGAATGTCCACAAACGTCAGAATGGGAAAAATGAGGCGTCAGGATCTCTGAGTACTGCCTGAGCGTCACTCTTTATAAGAGTGTTGAGCAGAAAAGCATCTCTGCACATCTCTTAGCCCTGCACAGGTCGAAGCAGATATATGATGCAAAGGCTCACCTGAGCTAAACAAATCAGTGCGGCCTGATGAGGCTGCACGCCTGTTGTTGACAGCTCAGGATTCGCTGTCTGCGGCGTGAATCAGTGGACCCACCTGCCTTGTGCATATAGTCAGGACTAGTAGTGGTGTGATGCTTGGTGTTTTTTCTTGCTGCACTTTTGGCTTGTTAATACGAATCAGTCACGTTTTCCTTGCCACACACTGGCCTCAGTATTTCAGCTGCAGACACACTTTAATAACTATGGACGCTACTTTGAGTCAGATGCACAAAGTAAAAGCTGCCTCAAGTTGCTTCGGTGGACTTCAGTGGCAGGCTAGTCACCGTTTGCGTGGGGACCGTCGCTGACATAAACCCAGTGTCAAAAATTGCAGTTCCTCTAACGTCCACTTGAATCTGGCTTCAAACATGAGACTCGGACGTTAAAAACACAGCAGAAATAAACACGTTACAGCCTGATACACTGCAACATGTTGTGGTGTCTATAGCTAATTTCTGTCTTTATAACAACTTTCAGCTCCGCTAATTTGAGCCACTTAATTAGACTCTGCTCTGACAAATAATATGGCTTCAAAATGACTTGTTGTGAGGTAATTGCATGCTTATCTAGATGTTATTTAGCAGGTGTCTGTGTCTTTGCAATGCATCAATGCATCTAACCAGGCTTGCTGGTGTTCTCCCTTTTCTCCACTCTACCCTTCATCCAAAGACTGTCGCCTCTGTTTTCAGTAAAATCAGGATGAAAACAGCCATCAAGCTAAAGCGGAGTTTGCAAAATGAGATTTCAGAAACCAGTGGGTGACTCCACTGTGACCACGAGTTTCACACAGTCTGTGATCTGAACCCGTCAAACAGTCCTGAAGAGAGGACTGATTTGAACGTCCTCACTTTGAAAGAAATGTCCTTTTCCCAAGGTCTTAAACTCACTTCGGTCCTCATAAAGCTAGCTGTGCAAACACACAGACACACACATTGTCTCCCACACACTCACGCTGTGCTTCTCGCAAACACGCACTGCACACCCACATTCACATATACTGTACACCCACACACACACACATATACACACACACTCACACTGCTGTTGCCATGAGTCACCCTCATGTGACTCTGTGTGTGTGTGTGTGTGTGTGTGCGTGTGTGTGTGTGTGTGTGTGTGTGTGTGTGTTTGCTAGCTTGGCACTGCCCACGTTAGCTTCTGTGCCAGCTTCACGGGTGTCTTAGATTAACACTGAAGAGCCTCTTTGATGATGAAACACACGCCCGTCGCATAGATTGCTCCTCTTTTCTCTTCTCTCTTCGTCTCCTTTATTTATCAATAAGTTGATTGATCTTCTGTGTCGCAGCGTTTCTCTTAGCAGTAATCTGCATCAGTCTGTCCGAGACGTCTCTGTTGAGGCATTAAACACAGTGAACTGCTAGGTGACCACAGTATGATGGTCTAATACATTTTGTCCAGTTTCATCTGGATTAACCCAGTTCATGACAGGTAGTTCAGGAAACGTGGTTTTGTTTTGTCCCTTTTTCTGTTTATTCTGCTTTGATCCAATTGTTCCACGTTGTTTTTGTTTGGCCAATTAAAAGTGATTTCAATGTGAGTGTGCAGCTAAATCCATAAAACATGAAAGAGAATCCCAATCAGTCATTTGGAGTCAGTGGGGAGAAAGAACTCCCTCTGAATGGGAGTAGGCCGAAAGACAGAAAAGAAGAGTGTTTTATTTGGTTTTACTCTGGATTAAGTCTTTTCCCTAACTTTCCATGTGTTGGTCTGAACATCCCATTTGGTTTGATTTGGTCCACTTCATCTGAATCTGTGATTTGTTCAGACTGGGTTGTTCCACTTAGGCCAGATTAGCACCAGCTGCTCTTTTATTCCACTTTTCCGGTTTTAGTCCATTTTATTCTGGGTTAAGCCAAATTCCTATTGGCTTTGTTTAACTGGTTTGATTCATTGCTTTTGTTTGCTTTAGTTCTGTTTAGTCTGGAGCCTGTCAGCTGGATAAGTGGAAGAAGATGGATGGATGGATGGATGGATGGATGGACGGATGGATGGATGGATGGACGGATGGATGGATGGATGGATGGATGGATGGATGGACGGATGGACGGATGGACGGACGAATGGATGGATGGATGGATGGACGGATGGACGAATGGATGGATGGATGAATGGATAGATGGATGGATGGACGGATGGATGGATGGATGGATGGATGGATGGACGGATGGACGGATGGACGAATGGATGGATGGATGAATGGACGGACGAATGGATGGATGGATGGATGAATGGATAGATGGATGGATGGACGAATGGATGGACAGATGGATGGATGGATGGATGAATGGATAGATGGATGGATGGACGAATGGATGGATGGACGAATGGATGGATGGATGAATGGATGGACGGATGGATGGATGGATGGATGAACGGATGGATGGATGGATGGTTTTGCTGGGTTTCTTCAAGCTTAGACCCAGTTAGGTGCAGTTGAACTTTTGTTCCACTGTGTTTGGGTTGTAACTGTGATTAGGCCATTTAATAAATGTCAGTAACATTCTTTTGTGGTTTGTTTTATTGGAGTTTGCTACAGTTTTGGTCTTTTTCATTCAGTTTGTATTTATCTGACTTAGTCTTGCTGATCCAGCTGATTGACTCTGTTCAAAGGGTTTAATTTGACCCTTTTGATGTGTTTAGTTTGTTTTTATGTAAGGTCCAGTTTTGTGGTTTGATTTTTGGAGGTGGATATTCTGGACAGAAGGATGATGAGGATGGAGCTGCCGGGCGGGAGGAAAACAGGAAGATCTGAGAGAAGATTCATGGATATAGTGAAAAAGGACCTGCAGAGTGTTGGTGTGATGGAGTGAGATGGAGGCAGAGATTTATCTGATTATGGTCGATTTGAACAAACTCGTTCCAGTTCATTGCAGTCAGGATTAGGCCAGTTTGCTCTGGTTTGGTCCAGTTTGTCAGGTTTGACACTCTGGTAAAGTGTGGTTTGTTCTGTCAGTTTGTCCGGTTTAGTCAGTGTGCAGCTATTTTATCTGAATCTATTCATCTTTCTCTTTTCCCTTTCTTCCAGTTTGCTCTTTAACCTCCTTTCCTTCCTTTCCCTTCTCTTCCTCCCCACCTCACCATCTGTCCAACAGATTTCCTTTCTTCTTTTCCTTTTCTTTAAGTCCATTCTTCTGCCTTCTTGCCGTCCTGATTCTGTTCTCAGTTGTTTGGATCAAGTTTCCTCCTCCTTCTCTGTATCCCACAGCTTCTCTCCCACCTTCTGTTTCATTATTTCAGCGTGATTTCACCTGAAATCAGCAGCATCTGCAGATGGATAACCCGTCCTCTCGTTCTCCTCGTGTTTTTGTCTCTTTCCTCGCAGTGTGGAGGGCGACTCTCAGTGTCCAGAGGCACTCACCTTTTCTGATTCATCCTTTGGCCATCCACCTCCCTTCCATCGCTATAGCAACAGCCCCCTCTCCAGCCCCTGTGACCCCTACGGCTCTCCCTCCTCCGGTGGGCCCCTGGGAGCCTCCCACACACATACACAGGTACCGACCCTAAAACACATGCACCGTCTATCTGCAGCTACTAAAGGTGTCTGAAGTTTATTCTGAAGCTTATGAAAGGAGGTGTCGCCTTCAGCCACATTTGTAAAAATCCTAATCCCCTCTGTGAAGAGCTCGGTGGCCCCGTTCTGCTGTAGTGGGACATTTAAGGTGGAAGGGCTCGCTTCAAATGAACACAAAGTTGATCTAAACCAGCAAACATGGTTGAAACAGCAGCGATATCTCGTGGGTCACCGGGGCAGGGGAACAGATGTTGATGCTGTATGACAGAGGTCAAACCGTGGATCAAATTATTCCAATGAATAAATTACACACATTGATCTCTTTTTTTAATCCAACGTTCGGCTGAGAGCTTATTAAACTAAACCATTTACTTTTTTTTTGTTGACCAAATTAACAGTCTGACAGTAAAACCTGTATCAGTGGATTATGTGTACTGTCTCCCTGAAGTTACCCTGAATAAATAAAAGCAGAAGTAAATCAAATCTGATTACATGTCTTCTCATCATGTCCTCTTCCAGGGCAGCTCACCCATCTCGCCCCCCAGCCCAGCGAGCCTCGCCTGGGCTCAGCGCAGCCGACACCAGCCAGCCAGCCTGGCGCTCCGCAAGCAAGAGGAGGAGGAGAGCAAACGCTGCAAGGCTCTATCTGACAGCTATGAGCTCTCTACAGACCTCCAGGACAAGAAGGTACAATGCCACAACAAGTCGGCCTCATAAGTAACACCTCTAAAAACACCACTGGAGCGGTTCCTGTGAGAGGTTTTCCATGTAATCGCCTCCATTACAAAGCAGCCTTTTCAATCACCCGCAGGGTAGAGGACACATCAGGACACCTTTATTTTCTGCCCTTCCTTTTATCCGTAATGCACACAGAGGCAGAGACACAGCAACGTGGAGCATGGACCAATAAGGAGGTTTACATAGGGAAGAGAAAAATTAGTGAAATAATATGTATTTACTTTCAAATGAAGCAAAAGTAAAGGTATATAGTTAGAAATGTTAGCAGCTAAGGAGCAGAGCTGCCTTTGGAGGCACGAGGCGTCATTTAACAAACCTCCTTATTGGTCCGTGCTCCTTTTGTTTCCACTGCAGTTTAGGAACCGTCAGATGTGCCGAGCGGTGTAATAATTTTCGGTTTACTCACTAAAAACACAAAACTACACACATCGTAACACGCAACATCACAAAGGTTCGCTGAAAGTTTCTGCTGTTTTGTTTCATGTTTCCTGTAAATGCAAAGATCGTTTCTGCTCTTCCCTCTCTGTTTGGTTGCGTGATCGTACGGCCTGATAGGTGGAGATGCTTGAGAGGAAGTACGGGGGCCCGTTCGTGTCCCGGCGGGCAGCGAAGACGATCCAGACGGCGTTCAGGCAGTATCGCATGAACAAGAACTTTGAGAGGCTTCGCAGCTCCGCCTCAGAGAGCAGGATGACCCGCCGCATCATCCTGTCCAACATGAGGATGCAGGTACACACACTCTCACACACACTTGTAAAAAAGCACATAATGAAACACACCAGGTTCTGCTCGGTTTGTTCTAATGATGCGTTGTTTCTTCGGTGGCTGCAGTACTCATTTGATGAGCGTCAACCACAGGGTCAGGGACCGCCAGGTCAGCAGGGCTCAGAGGACGCCGGAGATGTGGACGACTCCTTCTCTAAGCAGGTAGAGATGTTTGAGCATCTTCAACAGTCATGAAAAATGTTTAAAGAACACGGTCTGAAGTACACATGTGCAAAACGTGCACAGCATTATTACAATAAAGGAATATAATTATAATTCATTCATAAAAGAGTTTGTTGATACATAGTAATTATTATTCCTCAGGCAAAAAAGGATGTGGGGGTATTGTTATTACCCCACCAAGCTGCAAGGATGGGTGGATGGATGGGCGGGGGCTGCGTGGACAGAGCGGGGGGGGGCTGCAACGTAAAACGAGGCAACTTAGAATCTTCAAATTGATGCCATAGGTGTAGCTACTAAAACTCTTAGACGAGTTCAGATCTAAGTAACCTTGGCCTACCTGAGTTCAGAGGTCAAATCTTCTGAAAATCTTGTGAATGAAATAACTTGACAACGAGGTGACGTAGGATTTTGAAATTGATGCCATAGGTGTGTCTGCTTGGTGAAGTTTATCGAGTAAAACACCTTCATGAACATAAAGAAGTCCAGTTGCTTCTCTTTAAGTCCTCAAAAGGTCTGAGTTATAGCTCAGGACCATCCGACCTTTTAAAAGTAATATGTAAAGTTTCAAAAGTAATCTCAGACTTGCTGCTGATCAATGAAAATAAACTCATTTTGTCATAATCTGTACATTTTTTAGTTCACACATAATACTATCTAGATTATTAAAGTCTTTGAGTCTTTGAGATTCTCCAAAGCTGAAACAAAACTGCTCAGTTTGGTTTATAAAGCTACTAAATCAGAGGTTGCCAGTAAATACAATAGGAATCTGGGGGAAGCTTTATTTTCAGCAGTTAACCTCTAGAAGTGTTTGAATATTCTGAGTTTAAAAGGGAGAAAATCTCTGCTAAATGCTGGATGGTCTTAAAAGAGTCGCGATTATTGGAAAATGAATTGGCCCAGACAAGGATCCCTGTGGAGCCCCACAAACAAGCTTTCAACTACAGGACTGTTAGCAGCTGCTGTCCCAGCTGTCAGGGCAGCAATTAACACTGAAACAGTCACTGAAGTGCAGGTTTGGAAGTAAATGTTCATTGATTGGGGCCAATGGATGCTGAGGAATCTCCGTCCTCTGAGACAGGAGATGTGTTTCAAAGTTTTAGAAAATGCTAATAGGCGGACCTTAACATATTTGTATGCGTAGATGTTTCAAATTAAAAGCCCGCAGGATTGTGCAGGAACTGTTACCTTGAGCCTAAAACCGAACAAATAAATATCCGCGTAGGATTGGTGGAGTCATTCTTTTCCTGATAAGCAGAAAAGTAATCGTTTTAATCCTTTCCTAACCAGAAACGATTTTCTGTTTTTGCCCCTTTCCTGACTCATCTTCCATTTTTGTGCCTCCGAGTACTCATGTCATTTGCAAACATGATTTTATCCTTTTTTATGCAAATGACACACACAGATGTATATTATATTAAAAACTAACAAAGAAGTCAGCCTAACTCAGATGATATCTTGTATATCTGTTATAAAGTGCTGGATGTCCCAGAGTTTCCTGAAGCTAAATGAAAATGAATCAGAAGTGATTAGAGCGGATCCCCGGGAGTCTCTTCCCATCCTGCGGCAGATTCTTGGCCGTCTCTCAGCAAAGGTCAAACAAACAGAAAGAAACATGAGTGCAGATTTCCACAGCCGTCTTTCTCCTGACAGGAGTTGTGCAGCGATTTTCTTCTTCTGACCTTCTCATCGTCAGCTCGGGATATTTTTTCTCTTTATATTTTCTCTGTATTTTCTGTGTCGTGACGTTACGTTCGTGCACTGCAGGTTAAGTCCTTGGCAGACTCCATGGACGACTCCCTCACCTGCCAGTCCGGCCGTGAAGACTCACAGGAAGCGGGAGGAGATGGAGAGGAGGACGATGACGAGGACGAAGAGGAGGGCGATGAGGAGGAAGAAGAGGAGGAGGAAGAAGGGGAAGAGGACGAGGAGGAAGACGAGGAGGAAGACTACAGACAGTGTGCGTGGCGCAACAGCACGACATCTTCCCGACGTGCTGCGGGCCGGACGGGGGGAGGAGGGGGGAGGGCGGGGGCAGGAGGAGGTGCCTCCATGCATGAGGACAGCACCGCTACCTCCTTCAGTGATGTCACCCTGTACATGGATGAAGGCTGCCTCCCCTCCTCGCCGCTGTCCCGTCCCGCCTCCAGCTCTGATACAGAGTACTGGGGAGGAGGGGGAGGAGGAAGTGCAGGGGGGAGAGAAGACAGCAGGGAGACGGAGGGAGGCAGCAACACGAGCCGGAGGAGCAGCACCCCCTGCACAGAGTGTCGGGGCGAGTACAGAGGCAGGGGTGGAGGAGGAGGACATCTCCCCGTCCTGACCATCGAACCGCCCAGCGACAGCTCAGTGGACATGAGCGACAGGTCAGCAGCACTTAAACGTCTCGTTTCACTTTCTGGATGAACTCGTTCAGAATCTGCATGAAAACAGACGCAGACGCGAGCGTCCTCACCAGGGGGCGCTGTAGGACAAGGCCGCATGCACGGTCAAAACACAAAATTCCTGCAAGACGTTTGAAATTAGTCAATACTTCACATGAACACATGAAGTCCATATTTAAAAGATGAGCTTCCAGCTCGTCACTGTTGACCCTTAGAAACACTGCAGGAACTTTAATGAATGATTCAGTGTAGAGCTGGGCGATATGAGATTGTTTATCACGATATGTTTTTTTTCATTTCAGGCGATAACGATATCTATCACGATATCAGCCAAATAACTATATTTGTAAGATTTAAATGTGCCGTTGCTCACAAGTAAAATGTGAAATAATCAGCAGCTTGTTTTGATTTAAATATTTATTTCCCATAATAAGTTCAACAGGGTAGATGTACTTAAGGAACATGAGACTTTTTCAGATAAATAAAGGCAAATATTGCAAACTACACAAAAGGCAATTATTAATTCTAAAAATAAAATAAATCATCTGTTTTCTCTTCGGTCACGCTCTCGGTTGATTTTTCTCTGGTCGGAACACTCATTTCCTCCATTACCCGGGCGGCACGGCGGCTGGCGGCTTCCCAAACAAATACACATGTGCGGCTTGGCACTTTTGCTGTACGTAACAAGTCACGTGACGTGACGCTGCAGCTGGGATTGGTTCGGCTCTGCGCTACTTAATTTGGATTGGCTGTTCTTTTTTATGTTTTTTAAGAGAACAAGAGCGGTGAGGCCTATCGCAATAGTTTAATTTTTCTATCGAGAAAAAGTTATTTCGCAATACATATCGTTCTCGTTCTATCGCCCAGCTCTACTTCACCGTCAAGCCTGGAAGCTACGTTCACCTTTTAAAGGAGGTCTAAATGAAAGTGAGACTTTATTAAAGTGCCTGAACCCTGCTGTGTTTCTAATGTAGTGATTTTACTCATATGTTTATAGGCTCAACCTCTAGTTTTACTTTATATAACAGCCTGTATTTTTCCATTCCACATCCTTACAATCCTCCGTCAGTATGATTACCGCTTTGCTCCATTAGAATCAGGTGACTAGAAGATGTGCAGTCATAATTCATTGTATCGTTCCCATCTTCAGGTCAGAGCGAGGGTCTATCGGACGCCTGGTGTACGAACAGGAGCCGTCAGGAGTCGAGCGGGGAGGAAGTGGGGAGAGGGATAGGAGGGGGGGAGGAGTGGAAGGTGAAAGCGGAGAAGATGAGCGAGGAGGAGGAGGCGGAGGAAGCAGCGAAGCCGAATCTCCGCAGGGAACCATCAAACACAAACCCAACGGCCGCTCGGTCGCCACGGCGCAGGGACAGACTCGCAGCCCCTCCAACGTCCCCCTGCCGATGCCTTCGGCCCGCACCCTGCCCTCGCACCCGCTCCCTCACCCACTCCAGCACCCCCACCCTCACCCTTCACCCATCCCCCACCTCCCCACCATCCTCGACCACCACCCTCAGTACACCCAGCATCACATGATGCACATGCACCACGGACACGGCGGCAGCCCTTACATGCAGCACGCTCACCACTTCGCCCAGCACCACTACCACCACCTGCACCATCAACACCACCACCTCCCTCACGCTTACCCCGAACCCCCTTCTTCCCCGCTGCCATCTCCCGTACCGCCCCTCACACCTCTCTCCCCCCTGCCACCGCTGACGCCCTCGCCGCTGTCCTCGTCCTCCTCTGCGCTCCAAAGCATGGAGGCGCAGCAGCACCACGCTCACCACCCCCACCTCCACCACCACCACCTGCTCTGCTCTGATGGAGACAACGAGAGCGTCAACTCCACCACCACCAACTCCAACGATGACACAACGGTCAACAACTGCAGCTCCGGCTCCTCGTCCCGCGACAGCCTCCGGGAGCCAATCGGAGGAGCTGCGCTGGGAAAGCAGACCTATCAAAGGGAGAGCCGTCATAGCTGGGACTCACCTGCGTTCAACAACGACGTGGTGCAGCGGCGGCAGTACCGCATTGGACTCAACTTATTCAACAAGTAAGAACGTCTGCAAACATAATCCAGAAGACTCAGAGCAATAATCGGCCTCCTGTGAGTTCAAAGAATCCAGGCATAAGTCAGATCAGTAACACCTGATGTCAGACACAAAAGTACAACATGGAGGAAACTGTCTGCTCATACTGCAGCAAACAGAACAACATATGTAACCCAGCCCCAGTGTGCAATCAGGGCTGCTTAGTGTCAGACCATCTCTTCTTCGTCTGACAACAGTTCAGAGCCTTCTTGGTTGTGTCCTTATTTCTGAGCAGGGGGGTGGAGAGATAAGCACCCACACTGTTAGCAGCAGTGTCATTCAATTTAATTTTATTTCTACAGCTCCAAATCACAATAACAGTCGCCTCAAGGCGCTTTATATTGTACAGTAGATCCTACAATAATAGATACAGAGAAAAACCCAACAATCATATGACCCCCTATGAGCAAGCACTTTGGCGACAGTGGGAAGGAAAAACTCCCTTTTAACAGGAAGAAACCTCCAGCAGAACCAGGCTCAGGGAGGGGCGGGGCCATCTGCTGGGATTGGTTGGGGTGAGAGAAGGAAGACAGGATAAAAGACATGCTGTGGAAGAGAGACAGAGGTTAATAACAGATATGATTCAATGCAGAGAGGTCTGTTAACACATAGTGAGCTTGGAACTTCCTCAGAGTGTCTGGACGACGCTCTGAGGAAGTTAGTGAGTCGTGTTGTTAGAATGTTTCATTCAGCATTAATGATGCCTTCATAGACGTTTAAGTTACCCGTACTGTTGTTGATAACAAGTTAGATGTTAGCTTTAAATGTTAGATCGTGTGGAGGGGCTGAAGAGAGCACTGCCATCCAGTGTTGGTTTTTAACCTGGTCCCATGTGTACAGAGAATTCTCTGGACTCTCTGAATGTTTTACTGAAATTAAGTTTCTAAGTTTAGAGGAGTTTTTTTTATGTATCAGAATTTTAAAAAGCCAAAATATTAGACTTCTCAGCAGCGTAGAACGGAGCAACCAATAAAAACAAGACAACCAATAAAAAGAATTTCAGTCCCAGAGCAAACAACTTAAGAGGCCGTGTTTCCTCTGGTCTACAGGAAGCCAGAGAAGGGGATCCAGTACCTGATCGAGAGGGGGTTTGTGTCAGACACGCCAGTGGGCATCGCCCGCTTCATCCTGGAGAGGAAAGGCCT